GTGATGTGATTATATGGTCACAAGAGATAAGAGACATGTAAAAGTGAACTATGTGATTATATGAATATGTGACATGATATATTGCTAATGTCCATATTATGTGTAAAGAGAGCTAGAGGTATAGTTGGCATGCCAAGAGTCGAGGGATTTACAGTGGTCCTTCGGGACATAGTGGTCTTTCGGGACATTTCATAGTGGTCATTCGGGACAAATTTCATAGCCCCTAGTGGGACCTCATACGAGTTGTGGTGACAGCATAGTGCACAACTTCAATAGACTCACATATCTATAGTTCTCAAAAGTGTGCATGGGCTAAACAAAGAGATAACAATGAAGATAGTACTTGTGAAGTATATGCTTTTGTGATATGAATTGTATTATATGATTGATATGATGATGTGTGTATGATTTGAATGAGTCATATGTTGATAATAGGTATGATTAAATGATATAAATGATAATAATATGGATAATAGAATAATATTAATCATGGAAATAATGTGTGATGTGTGTATGTGTACATTATATTATATATAATGATTGTGTGATATCATGAAGTGATATGTTCATACATGTGTAAGCATTTAAAGTTTCCTTTATAAGTTTAATGCCTCACTAAGTCATAGACTTAGCGTGTGATTGTTTCACACGTAGGTTATAGAAGCGAAGAAGTGTAAGACAGATCAGCATATCCCTTACAAAATTTCATATCAGAAAATAGATGATTTAAATGTGTTTGGTTATTTTGAATATAGTTGGCATGTACTAATTGATTGAGTTGAATATGCGCTGATTGATTTTGGTTATTTTGGTCAATTTATGTAAATAAACCGCTTTTATTTTAATGAAAGTTTTAAATTTTCTTTGAATTTTGTCAAGAGTCAAAGTTTGAAAAGTCAATGTGACACCTCAGACTCGTATTCGGGTCAGGTACGGGTTGGGGTGTTACAGCATTGTATAACAAGTAAACAACACCGGTTAAAATTCAACAAGTCAAATTCTAGAGGTAAAAATGTTTTAAAATTGGTTCATTCTGACGTATGACAAGCACCAGTTACATCCCTAGGCGGAGCAAAATACTTTGTCTCAATTATTGATGACTACTCCAAAAGATGTTGGGTGTACCCTATTAAGAAGAAGTCAGACGTGTTTTCAACTTTCAAAAACTTCAAAGCGCGGGTGGAACTTTATTTTGGAAATAAGATCAAGTTTTTCAGAACAGATAATGGAGGAGAATACACAAGTGAAGAATTTGATGACTTTTGCAGGAAAAAAGATAGTTCACAATGGCGAACACTCCTCAACAAAATAGAGTGGCAGAACGGATGAACATAAACTTGTTAGAAAGAACAAAAGCAATGTTGAGGGCTGCAGACCTAGAAAAATCATTTTGGGCAAAAGCAGTCAATATCTCCTGTTATTTGGTGAATCGACCTCCATCAACTGCAATAGAGCCGAAGACACCAATAGAGATATGGACTGGTAAACTAGCTAATTATTTAAACCTCCATGTATTTGGAAGTATTGTGTACATGATGTACAACTCCCAAGAAATTTCAAAGTTGGATCCAAAATCCAGGAAATACAAATTCTTGGGGTATGTTGATGGAGTAAAGGAGTATCTCTTGTGGGATCCCACTACCCATAAAGTGATCATCAGCAGGGATGTTATATTTGTAGAAGGTAAGCTACAAAGAAAAGAAGATGATGATAGCGCTGTAAAGTCAGAGACTACACAGATACATGTGGAAAAAGAGTTTAAACAAGGAGATTCTTCTGAAGCAGAACTAGCACATGATGAACAAGAACAAGAGAGTTCTGAAGCTCCAACAACTCGTCAATCAGACCATGTGAGAAGACGTCCCAATTGGCACTCAAATTATGTTATAGAAGGAAATATTGCATACTGCCTTTTAACAGAGGATGGTGAGCCATCAACATACCAGGAGGCAATAAACAGCTCAGATGCTTCACTATGGATGATGGCGATGCAAGAAGAAATTGAAGCCCTTTATAAAAAATAATACATGAGACTTTGTGCCACTACCACAAGTAATGAAGCCAATTAGTAACAAATGGGTCTTCAAAATCAAGCAAAATAGTGACGATCAAATTGAGAGGTATCGTGCAAGACTGTAGTCAAAGGATATGCTCAAAAGGAAGGTATTGATTTCAATTAAATCTTTTCTCATGTGGTTCGACTAACAACAATTCGAGAAGTTTTGGCAATGTGTGCTATATTGAACTTATATCTAGAGCAACTAGATGTTAAAACAACTTTTCTTCATAGAAATCTTGAAGAAGAGATATATATGCTCCAGCCTGAAGGTTTTGAAGAAGAAGAAAAGAAGAACTTGGTTTGCAGGTTGAACAAATCTCTATACGGTCTAAAGAAGATGCCAAGATATTGGTATAAGAGATTTGATTCCTTCATTATGTAGCTTGGATACAACAGACTTAATGCAAACTATTGTGCTTATTTCAAGAAGTTTGTTGATAATGATTTTGTTATATTGTTGTTGTATGTGGATGACATGTTGGTTACATGACCCAACAAAGATCATATTGAAGAATTAAAGGCACAACTGGATAGGAATTTTGAAATGAAGAACTTGGGATCAGCAAACAAGATTCCAGGGATACAAATTCACCGAGACAGAAGTAATAGGAAGATCTGGTTTCACAAAAGAATTACTTGAAGAAGATCTTGTCACGATTCAACATGCAAGATTGTAAGCCAATTTCTACCCCTATTCCTATTAACTTCAAATTATCCTCTAGTATGAGCCATAGCAGTGAAAAAGAGAGGATGGAGATGTCTCGAGTGTCGTATGTATGCATCAGCAGTGAGAAGTTTAATGTTCGCTATGATATGCACAAGACCATACATTGCACAAGCAATGGGAGTGGTTAGTCGATACATGGCGAATCCAGACAAAGAGCATTGCAATACAATAAAGAGGATCATGAGATACATAAAAGAGACCTCAAACGTTGCATTATGTTACGGAGGATCAAACTTACTTATCAATGGGTATGTCGATTCTGACTATGCAGAGGATTTGGATAAAAGCAAATCTACAACATGATATGTGTTCAAAGTTGCTGGTGGAGCTGTAAGTTGGGTTTCAAAATTGCAGTCAGTTGTGATTACTTCCACAACAAAGGCAGAATATGTAGCAGCTACACAAGCCAGTAAAGAAGCAATTTGGTTGAAGATGCTATTGAAGGAGCTTGAGCACAATCAAGAGTATGTCTCTTTGTTTTGTGACAGTCAAAGCGTCTTGCATCTAGCAAGGAATCCGACATTTCATTCAAGGACAAAGCACATACGAGTTCAGTACCATTTCATTCGTGAAAATGTGGAAGAATGGACGGTAGATATACAGAAGATTCATACCAAAGACAACATAGTAGATTTCATGATGAAGACGATCAATGCCGATAAATTTACTTGGTGTCGATCCTCTTGTGGCCTGTCAGAAACGTAAGCAACATGATGGTACAAGGTAGAAAGAATGATGTGAAGATATGATTGTTTCAATCAAATCTTCAAGTGGGAGATTGTTGAAAACTCTTAATACACCGAAAGTGCATTATTGAAAAAAAAAGAATGGTAGGCACCGAATGGTAGGAGCAGATTTTGTTGAATTTTTTGCATGAGAAAATTGCTCTTTTAGTCCTTGGACTTTAGGGTATTTACAAGATTAGTCATTAAGCTTCAACTATAAATACCCTAACCCATTTAGCTTCAAAATCATCCCAAATCATTCTAGCTTTCTCCCAATACTAGAGAATTTAGAGAGTTTTCTTCTCGAGAATTGTTTTCTCATTTTTTATCAAGAGAGAATTGTTATTGTTTTCTCCTTATTAAATCGAGAGAAGTCGTAATTGCTATTTTCTCATAGTGAAATTCTTCTACCGTTGCCCGTGATTTTTACTCTATATTATTTAGGGGTTTTTCACGTAAAATTTATGTCTTATTTATCTTCATTTTTATTTTCTCAAATTATCAGTTGCATTTTTTCTCTATCCGATAGTCGTATTCTGCAACAATATATTTATCAACCAATTTTTTAATCTATATCAGTGTAAATAAATGATTTCTAATGTATATTCAGGACTTACATTTTGATGGGATGATTTTAGAGAACTGGTAGAATAATGAAGTGGTGGAGGGAATACATGTGAAGGTGTCTCTCACGATAAAAATGAATAGGACGAGTTGATGTAAGATAGGAGGACAACAGGTAGGGAAGATGGTGTTTGGTTGGTAGGAAAATAGTGTATCCCTTTGCCTTGATCGTGGGTGGGGAACTCTTTGTTTTACTTACATCCAACTGGGAAAACACACTATTTTTTCTTTTCTTTTTGGGTTTAATATAATATTGTAACACCATCCATGTTTCGACACGTGTCTTGTCTTTCACAATCTGTGGTTGTGAACTCCATGTGACCTATGGAACAGGAAATAAATGAGCGATTGGGATGCATCATCATGATCATCAGCCCTCTTCTCGGAAGAAAGGGAAATCTTGATGCATCACCAACTTCACTACTTGTAATTCTAATCAATCCCACTCAAATGATGGTTTTTTTCTTAACGTATAAGACAATAGTGAGTGCGATGGATTTAGGGGTGAATTGAATTTTCAAGCGCCTCCATCAATGAGTAAGTCTCTAAAAGAGAAAAAAGAAACATATAATCCTAACGATACACAATATCAATTGTTGCCCCAGCAATCAGCACTGATCCATCCTAAACTGATATCTGGTGTATACCATACCACTTCACATTGTTAAATTAATTTGGGATGCGTTGGGAACAAGTGTCTTTTAACAGGAGATAGCCTCCCAAGTACAAAAAATAAAATTACAAATGAGGATAATATTTTCCCACAACTAAAACTAAAGGGCCTTATTATTCATTTTCCTAGTTTCAGCCAACGAAAAACAAGCCCCCCTCCCTCCAAAAAAGCCTACTAAACAAGCATCTCAAACTTTATTACATCTTGCTTCTTTTGATTTTTTCACAAAATGGAGACTACAACTATGCACTCTTTCGCTCATTCTTGTCTTTCAATAGGCTTTTCCAGATCAGAGGCGTTTTAGGAATAAACAGAAAACCCATTGTAAATTGAGGATAAGAATCTGGATTAACTTTTTCACTCACTAGAGAACCAAATTGTGGACCGCCCTTACGGTGTTGGATAAGAAACTCGACCGGGTATCCCTTCAACTTATGGGGTAAAACACCCAAATCCATAAAAGTTAAAGCTGCAAAACTCACCAAAAAAACAAGGGGGTTAATGATATGAACACATCTTGGAACAAGGAAAACTTACTGGCATAGCCATTAAAATTCAACTGACCGTTTTCTGATACAACAGTATCGTTTGCAAATGCTAGTACTTGATCCAGGTTGAAGATGTCAGGATTTGGTAGTGGAAATGGCACTTTTTTGAGTAATACCTCTCTAGGCATGGCAATTGCCTAAAACCATCAAATGATGAGCTGTTAATCTATAACTCAATGTTAAACAGTAATAAGCAACAACAATGTATGTGACCATAAGAACAGAAAGATGAGTATGAATCTAGATGCACAATAATTAATTACGTGTTAATTAGGGTCAAGATCAAGGAATCAATGGCACAACATGCCTTCCATTGATATCTAACTCTTTTGCCATGCATATAGTCAACATTGATAATTAGACAACAGAAAAAAGGCTGCACTAACTTAGAACAGCTTGCTTGTAGCACTTGTCTAAATTCAAGGGTTAAAATATTACCTTCGCAATGGGTAAAAGTACATTTACTAATCCATAACAAAATTTAAATGTTGTAAGTCCATAAATGTTAATACCCAGAAAAAGGAAAAAGAAATGCAGTACATTGACAAAAGCTACAAGAAACTATCAAAATCATACACCTCGAGGCTGTCTTGTCTTGCTAGGGTAGGGATGTATTTGGGGCTGGTTGTAATCCTTGTAACTTTGGGATTTTTCCCTTTATCAATAAAATATGAGTTATTTTTTTTCTCCTTTCGTTTTTTCGAATTATTATAAATTTAACAATTGTGAGGTGATTTTTAATGAGACCTTTAATTCTTATTAAAAAAAATTTCATACACTTCAAAACTGCAACATATTAACAAAAATGAACAATGAAAAATATATAACCGCTCAAAAGGCCTACGTAACGTAACAACTGCTTTATAATCATTCTAAATTAATTAAAAAAAAAGGATCAGATCGAAATATAGAAGACAACCAAAAAGTAACGGATCAAACCTTAACACCTCCGGGAAAACAAAAATTGGCTAAGTCCTTCATACGCATAGCTAACCTCTTCCCAGGAGGATATTTAAAAAGCAGTGTTAATCACAGAAAAGAAAAACAAAGAACAGTGATGATGTCTGCCAATATGAAAAGAAATACATTATCATTGATCAAATGCATATACTCTGAAGATGATTTTCTTTTGATACCATTTTTATGAACAGAATCAAGTAAATTTAAGAAGAAAAGACAACACACAAGGACTGACAAACCAAGTTCTTGCTTCTGTAATGGCACTGCCTTTATTTGCAAGGAGAAACACAAATTGTTAAATTGCAGAAAATTAAGGAGCAGAATAATATATTGTTGAAAATATAAAAAAGGGTCTCCTTCTATTTAGTTATGTAGTCGACCTGAGGTTCGAATGTCGGAAGTGGAGGCCCCCTATGCTGTATCAGCTTAACATCTATGATTCCAGATCTTTTCATCTCCATCTCCCACTTCTTCCTTCTAGAAAAGTCTTCCTCCATGACCCCAAGATTAGCATCTGGATGAATCCCAACAATAATGAAGTGCTCGAAGATTGATTCGGGTTGCCTATATTTAATATGATCCAGAAACAACATCTTCAAGATCAGAATTCTGAAAGGCGCAGATATATATCAGAATCCCGTTTGACTAATGCTAACTGCCTGTTTTACCTCAACATCTAAAATCTGAGCAAAGAAAATGATTTCACAAAGAAAAGGAAGCAATGTGAGACTTATCCTTAAGTAATGGTTCAGGTTATAATTGTTCTTCAAGAATAAGTTATAGCCAATCCGAAACTACAGGAAATGCATACACAAAATGGAACCTGGAAATAAGAAAAGAGCCGAGTCTAAATACCATAGACTTGGAGCTGAGTTGGTACCACTGGCGTTTCTGGTTTGCCAAAACCTCGGGGTTGAAGCTCGAGTGGTACCAATCATCCCTCAAATGGCCACCCCATTGCCAAGCCTTTTGCATCTGAGTTTTCAATCTATGGAAACTATTGCTACGCCAGTTTCCTGACGTTGGGAATTCACTCCGAGCGCGCCTGTGCCCTGATGGCGGCAGCCTTGGTGGACCAGTGCTTCCAGGCTGCACTGGATTCTGCGTTTCTACAACCTCATTCACAGCCTCCTGAAAATCAGGGTTTATTTCCCAAATGGAAGATCGAGACCGGTCTTCCTGTCCTTCAGCTTCTTCCTTGGTTTCCATTTTGTAAACACTTATTTTTTTTATCTTATGTTACACTGCTTATTTCACCAATTAAACTCAAACCTCTCCTCCATTAAATTGTCAGCCATTACCACTAAAAGATTCAGACTTTTTCTGTTGAAAGTCAATGGTAGGCACCGAATGCCACCAAAGTTTGGGCTACAAAAATTATTTTCAACATTCGGTGCAGCTTATGTTGATTTTTTAAATAGGTTAATTACACTTTAGTATTTGTATTTTAGGGTATTTTTAAAAAATTAGTCCTTAAGCTTCAACTATAAATACCCCTATCCATTTAACTTAAAAATCATCTCAAAATCCCAAATCATTTCTTTCTCCCAATACTAGAGAGCTTTCTTGTGAATATTGAGTGTTTTATAAAAACACCTGTAAATTTTCTCTCTTAGTAAAAGATCTGCAGCAGTCCAGAGACGTAAGCAAAATTGGCTGAACTCCGTTATCAATTTCAGGTATTATTTTTCCGCTTTTATTTTGTATTCTCACTAATCTAGTTATAGGAAAATTACTTGTTCTCGTTTATTTCCCAACAACTGGTAATCAGAGCTTTTTGTTGTGAATTTTGTCAATTTTTTGCGAGGTTACTATTCATTACTATTCACATGAATAGTGAATTTCGTGAATAGTGAAATTTTGTTGGCGATACGAATTTGTCGACGGAGGTGTTCTAATACACGGTGGTTCGCAAGAATTGTTAGAAACGATCCAAACGAAGCTAGATTCAAGTGGGAGCGATAGCTGCAGACGAAGGGAAGGTGAAAATTGAAAAATTTGATGGTGCGGACTTTGGCATTTGGAAGATGCAGATTGAAGATGTTCTGTACCAGAAAAATCTATATCAACCTCTCTTAGGAAAACAACCAGAGGGCATGAAGAATGAAGACTGGGCTCTTCTCGACAGAAAAGCCCTCAGAGTTATCCGACTGATGTTATCCCGCAATGTTGCTTTCAACATAGCAAAGGAAAAGACCACGGCAGGTCTTATGGCGGCTCTCTCCAGTATATATGAGAAGTCATCGACCTCAAACAAAGTTTATTTGATGAGGCGATTATTTAATTTGCGAATGGCGGAAGGGGCATCGATGGCACAACACCTAAATGAACTCAACACAATCACAACCCAGTTGAGTTCAGTGGAAATTGAATTCGATGATGAAGTTCGAGCGTTAATTCTCTTATCATCTCTACCAGACAGTTGGAATGCTACTGTCACAGCAGTTAGCAGCTCGTCGGGAAATAGTAAATTGAAATTCGACGATGTTCGGGATCTGGTATTGAGCGAAGAAATTCGACGGAGAGAATCGGGTGAAGCATCAACCTCTTCAGCCTTGCACACGGAGTCTAGAGAGAGAACTTCAAAAAGAAATTCAAATCGTGTCAGATCCAAATCCAGAAGGGGAAAATCAAGAACGGGAAATAAAGATTTTACCTGTTATAACTGCGGTAAGAAGGGTCACTTTAAAAGAGATTGTCGAGCACCGAAGAAAAATACCGACGCACAGGAATCTGCCAACGTGACAGAGGAGATAGGTGATGCCATGATTCTAAGCGTCAACAGTCCGATTGAATCATGGATCTTGGATTCATGGACATCTTTCCACTCCACCCCATGCCGAGAAACCATGAAGAACTATGCCAATGGTGATTTTGGGAAGGTTCATCTAGCTGATGATGAAACCTTGAAGATCGTCGGAAAAGGAGACATCCGATTAAAGTTGCCAAACCAGACCACCTGGACGCTAAAAGAAGTAAGACATATTTTTGGCCTAAAAAAAATTTTGATTTCTGTAGGACAACTTGATGGAGAAGGATATAGTATAACTTTTTCAGGCTGTGAATGGAAGATTACCAAAGGAGCACTCGTCATTGCTCGTGGTAAGAAGTCTGATACTCTCTATGTAACCTCAAATTTAGAGAATATCATTGCAGTAACAGATGCTAATGGAAAATCAAACCTATGGCACCAAAGGCTTGGTCATATGCGCGAGAAAGGGATGAAGAAACTTTTGTCAAAAGGGAAGCTGTCGGATCTAAAGAGTGTAGATGTCGGACTATGCGAGGATTGCATCTTTGGTAAACAAAAGAAAGTCAATTTTGCACAGATTGGCAAGACACCCAACGCAAAAAGTTAGAGTTGGTTCATACTGACGTATGGGGACTATCTCCAATTTCATCTCTTGCAGGCTCATTATATTATGTCACATTCATCGATGATTCTACAAGGAAGGTGTGGGTTTATTTTCTGAAGAAGAAATCAGAAGCATTTGATACCTTCAGAAAAATAGAAGGCCATGGTGGAAAATGAGACTAGTTTGAAAGTCAAGCGGTTGAGGTCTGACAATGGAGGAGAGTACAAAAATAGAAGATTCAGAGATTTCTGCGCAAACAATGGGATCAAGATGGAGACAACAATTCCCATGACACCGCAACAGAATGGCGTAGCAAAGCGCATGAACAGAACTCTGAATGAACGTGCCAGAAGCATGAGGATACATGTCGGATTACCCAAATTTCTATGGGCTGAAGCTATCAACACTGCAGCTTACCTAATCAACTGTGGGCCCGCAGTTCCCTTGGATGGTGGAATACCGGAGGAAGTTTTGAGCAAGAAAGAAATAAACCTTTCACACTTAAGAGTGTTTGGTTGTATTTCTTATGTACACATAGACTCTGCTGAAAGAAGTAAACTTGATGCTAAGTCCAACAAATGTGCCTTTGTTGGTTATGGTGGTGATGAGTTTGGTTACCGATTTTGGGACTACGGAAATTGGAAGATCATCAGAAGCAGAGATGTCATTTTTAATGAGAATATGATGTACAAAGATAGGTCAACCATAGAATCAAGTAGCTCAAATATTGAAGCTGAAACAAAGGAATTTGCTGAGTTCGAGGAGATTTCTGGAAATGATGTTCAGATCAGTCCTGAAGCAGTTCAAGAAGAACCAGACACACCAGAACTAAGACGCTCCTCCAGAATTCCTAAACCAACCCAGCGTTATTTGCCTTATTTGCACTACTTGTTGCTGACTGACAATGGTGAACCAGAGTGCTATGATGAAGCAATGCAGGTGGAGGATTCAGTCAAGTGGGAGTCTTCCATGAAAGATGAGATGGACTCGCTTATGTAAAATCAGACGTGGGAATTAGCTGAATTACCACCAGGAAAGAAAGCGCTCCATAACAAGTGGATTTACAGGATCAAAGAAGAGCACGATGGGAGCAAACGCTACAAAGCAAGATTGGTTGTCAAAGGCTTTCAGCAAAAAGAAGGTATTGACTACAATGAAATTTTC